TTTTTTTTAAAGATTTTATTTATTTATTTGAGAGAGAGAGAATGAGAGACAGAGAGCACGAGAGGGAAGAGGGCAGAGAGGGAAGCAGACCCCCCGCCGAGCAGGGAGCCCGATGCGGGACTCGATCCCGGGACTCCGGGATCATGACCTGAGCCGAAGGCAGTCACTTAACCAACTGAGCCACCCAGGTGCCCGGGATTCTCCTTTTTCCCAGGTTTTCTTCAAAGCTGGCCTTCTGGGTCTTCTGGAAGAAATGAGAGATGAAAAGTTGGCCCAGATTATAACAAGAACTCAAGCCGTCTGCAGGGGATTCCTAATGAGGGCTGAATATCAGAAGATGTTGCAAAGGAGGTAACAACAGTGCAGATTATCCGAATTGTAAGGTCCCTTTGGGACTATCACTCAGCCTTTCTCATTTATTAACACTCATTTTGTGGCTAATACATGCTTCTCGTGCAGTTCAGAATTCACTCCTACAACATATCCGCCTTTGCTTAACCCCTCATACTTGCACTCCCTCCAGTTTCTCCCTGTCCATCCCCCTCAAATAGAGCTGCCAGAATAATTTGCAATAAGCACAGTTTTCATCATGCTGTAGCTCGGTCTGTGGCTCCCCCTGGCCTCCCATGACAAATCCGTGTTGCCTTGCGTAGCTGTCAAGGCTCTCTGTATTCCCCAGTACATCTGTCATTCCCAGCCACACAGCCTTTTCCAGCCGGCCTGAACAATTTGCTTATCTCCTGTTTTCATGTTTGCCCCAGCCCTTCCCCCTCATCCTAATTTACCTATTTACCAATTCAGAACTTGCACTTTTCCTTTCTCCAATGAGCCTCATCCAGCTCTATCTACCCAGCACTGATGCACTCCCTGCCCCCCCCGACACACACACACACACACACACACACATTTTGCATTCATTTTGCTCCTCTGTGCTTATTTGGATTTGTATTATAAGTGTTCCCAAATCCTCCCCATGTGTCTACATTATGGTTTGTGTCATGGTATTTGCCTTCTCAGAGTCATGGTTCTTGTAATTTGGACCTATACAGAAAGAGAATTTACATTTTAATAAGCTTGAAGAGGCATACAGCAAACCTTGCTAGTCTAGTGCTACACTTTGCAGAAGGAGCATCTTTTATTACTATTTAAAAATTGTACTTAGATAAAACAAATTTGTGTGCTCAATGCACGCTAAATCACCTGTAGATATTAACAATCTAATTAAGCAAATAAGAATGAGGCATTTGAAATAATCTGAGGAAAGCCAGTACGTTATGTGAAAAAGCTAACAAAAGTTTACGAGTGGGTAATTCAGTGTTAATCAAACTAAGACGAAAGGTTCCAAGAAAGATGTGCTAAATCCTAAATTCCTCCAGTGGGGCAAATCAGAAAGCACCCAGTGTCATCTCACAGCTCACTCTGTAGGCCAACAGCCCACAGCACAACCAACTCACAAATGCCACGTCCACTCCCAAATCACCAATATTGTAATATCTCAAATGATCTTAAATTGGTTTGTGTTTCTCATACGTGCAAAGTATTCCCACTCTAAGTCTGCACCTTTGCTAGTGTGGTGAGGGTCTTGAGAACACAAAATTACTCAATATGAGCAGTACACATTAGCAAAGTGGTTACACTGAGCACTACTATGAGTGTGTCTGTGTCTCTATAAAGCCTGCAGTTAACATATACAAAATCTGATATATCATTTACACCTGGGGGAGCATCACAAGGGGAACTTGTGTGTAAAAAAAAAAACGCCAACAATAACACTGCCCCTATTGAATCGATCTACACTGATATTTTTACGTCATTTCAGAGAAGCCCTTTTCTGCATCCAGTACAATGTACGTGCGTTCATGAACGTCAAGCACTGGCCCTGGATGAAACTCTTCTTCAAGATCAAGCCTCTCCTCAAGAGCGCGGAGACCGAGAAGGAGATGGCCACCATGAAGGAAGAGTTTCAGAAAACCAAAGATGAGCTCGCCAAGTCAGAGGCAAAAAGGAAGGAACTGGAGGAAAAAATGGTCACTCTCTTAAAAGAGAAAAATGACCTGCAGCTCCAGGTTCAATCTGTGAGTATTCTGTATTCTGAATGCAACATGTTACTGAAGCGTTTCTAGAAGGCATACATACTTCGGATTTACAAAGAGCCTTGTCTTGAAAAAGAAAAATCTCAAATTACTTTTTTTAGTATTTCACGTATCTTTCCATAGTCCTATGAGGAAGATACACACAATGACTTCTGAATTACAAATGGAAAAGGGAGGACTGAAGAACATATTCAATAATATCACAAATCTAGCAGCCATGAAGGAAGCAGTTTAAAGGTGATGCCCCAGATCGCAGCCAGATATCTTACCCATTTGCCTTGCATGCTTCATCCCAGCCTTACAAGGATCGTCCTATTCTCTGAACGCAAGTCTGAGATTGTATTGAAATTAAAGAAAGACCATTATTCTTTTTTAATTCAATTAGCCGACATATAGTATTTCATTAGTTTCAGAGGTAGAATTCAGTGATTCATCAGTTGCATATAACACCCAGTGCTCATCACATAAGGTGCCCTCTTTAATGCCCATCACCCAGTTACCCCATCCCCCCACTCCTCTCCCCTCCAGCAACCCTGTTTGTTTCCTATAGTTAAGAGTCTCTCATGGTTTGTCTCCCTCTCTGATTTCTTCCCGTTCAGTTTCCCCTCCCTTCCCCTATCATCCTCTGCACTTTTTTTTATATTCCACATATGCGTGAAACCATATGATAATTGTCTTTCTCTGATTCACTTATTTCACTCAGCATAATCTCCTCCAGTCCCATCCATGTTGATGTAAAAGTTGGGTATTCATCCTTTCTGAGGGCTGAATAATATTCCATTGTATATATGTACCACATCTTCTTTATCCATCTGTTGAAGGACATCTAGGCTCTTTCCACAGTTTGGCTATTGTGGACATTGCTGCTATAAACACTGAGGTGCAGGTGCCCCTTATTCTTATTTCTCTCCATCCTTACCCCTGAGATTTAGCTCAATAAATCTGTTTGCAGTTATGTGAGCTGAGCAACCAGAGTGTAAAGTAGAGCCAAGTTCCCTCTGTGATTCTTCCTTTGACAGACATCCCGAGTTCTTAAGGCTTCTGTTTACTAGCTCGGGAAGAAGTTGTAATCAGCGTGGGGGATAGTCTGGACCAGTGCTCTGTCCAAGCATAACCTCCCATTTCCATGGTCCAAAAGCCCACCAGTGTCATGAAGAAACCTGTGAAAGGGATAGTCTTCCTAAATCTTTAAGCTATTTTCAACTTTCCCTTCTGATACCTTCACTTATGTGAAGGTTACATTTTCCCAAAACACACAACCAACAACCACTTCAGCCTAGCGTCCCTTCACAGTTCTTATCATCAGTCAGTGTGTAAACACTGACTGAATACATCACTATTAAAAATAAAAGCAAAGGAACCCTGGGAAGTCCCCATTATCATCCATTTAAGCATTTAAAAAACATAAGCTATGAACAAAACAAACACTGACTGAAAAGTTAAAGAAATTCCCCAGGCCAGAGTAATCTAATAAGGCTGAGCTGATTTTTATCTGAGTTCTTCAGTCACTCATAGAAACTGTATGGAGCTATGTAATGCCTCAAAATTACACATTCTTGTGTATTCTAAAATTCATGTTGAGACTAATAGGTGATCCTTAAAATACAAATGAAAACTGTGGACATTTACAGCACTGCTATGGACTATCAGGAAGGTTGTGAGTGTATACCAAATGGTGCATGGAAATGTATTCACAGGCATAAAATTATTTAAGTTCTTTTTCCTTTCCTTTTTAAATTCAGTCTAACAACTAGTTGCTTGAAATGAACAGGGAATGATCAAAACCAAATCTAACCAATCTAAGTCAGAATCTTTGGGGACGCCTGGGTGGCTCAGTCAGTTAAGTGTCTGCCTTCGGCTCAGGTCATGATCCCAGGGTCCTGGGATCGAGTCCCGTGTCAGGCTCCCTGCTCAGTGGGGAGCCTGCTTCTCCCTCTGCCTGCCACTTCCCCTGCTTGTGCTCTCTCTCTGACAAATAAGATCTTTAAAAAAAAAATCTTTGACTATCACAGCTGAAATGTTCCTAGTGATCATTTATTCCCACCCCCTCAACTACATATGAGAAAACTGAGGATAAAGGAATAAAATAAATTTGCCTACATTCATCCATATGGAGACAATGTTGAGACAAGACCTCAGGCTTCCTGTGGCCTATCACTCTTCTAGACACTACTTTATAGTCGACTGATTCAATCCAATCATTTTTCAGATTAATTTGCTTCTAAGTCTATAGTCTTGCTTTTAATTAGATCCATTTCTCCAGGCCACATAATAATGT